ACACGCACACACACACACACTGGAGCTGGAGGAAGCGGATCAATGTGGACCGCAGTGTCTCATTTGCAGCATCTCATCATCTCCAGCACCGGGGAGACCATCGCTGCTGCCCCCCCACAGATAACACCACATCTCCTGGTGAGTAATCTCCTCTGCTGCCGTCCGTCGTGTTCACTGAAGGAATGACTGTTGCGGGTTTTTTTTTATTGCGGTCTCTCTGTGCTCGCTGCCTCGGATGCACGCAGTAAGTGCACAACTTGAGCCACGTACAGTGAGTGTGCACTGCATCACTGACACACACAGCCCGGACCTGTAGGGTGCAGAGCCGCGGGAGAAAGGTCACTAACGCCGCTGTCATTGACGCATCCGTGCGTGCCGCTAGCAGCTCTGCAGTTAAGTTTTTTCGTCCTTGGCAGGAAAAAGTTGGCACTGGAGTGTTTTATCTGATAAGGTGTGTGTGTACGTGAGAGGGTTTTAGATTAAGTTTGTTGCACCTGAACACAAGAGGCACACAGGTGACTGCAGACCTGCTGTTTTTTTTACTCAGTCGAATGAGTAATTCAGGTTGTTTTTTTTGTTGGTGTCCATATTTCCTCAGAAACACAGATAATTGGAGATGTTTGTCTGCCTGCTGCAGAATAATGAGATTTCCTGTTGAGTGAAAGCAGAAAATAGTCATATCTTACTGCAGTTGGTTTATGTTTCATGATTTAATTTGGTTTTTGAGTCTTTAGCAGTGAAGCAAACACAAACTTTGCCATCCATCCATAGGCTTTTCTAGATTTTACATCAATTAAAGCTGAAACAATCAATCGATTAACAGCATAAAATCTGCAACAAGTTTGTTTTTTTAAAGCAAAAGTGTTTCCAGCTCCTCCAATGTTCACATGTTCTGGTTATCTAATGCTTCTATGATCACATTTGATTCATTCGATTTCCTGACATTTGACGGCAGTGAACAAACAATGAATTGAGAATATGATCAGCAGATGAATCAATAATGGGGGGGAAAAGAATCCCTGAAGAAATCTAATAATCAATGTGTTTCCGCTCAAGATTCATTTAAATATTTGACAGGATTTGCTCTGTATGCTAATGCGAGCTCCTGTTGACAAATGCCACTGCAGGAAAAGTCTCTGCAGAGAGGACAGCGCGGTTGAAGACCCCGTCAAACGTCCCCCCTCTTCCATACGAAGCACGAGAGCAGATCCATCCTCGTCCGCCAAGGGCAGCTGAAAGCATTTTGTCTTCATTTGTTGCAGTTTATGAACCCCCCCCCACCCATCACCTTCCATCTGGGGCTCAGTCTAGACTCTGGGTTTCGGTGAGTGGACGGTGGGGGTAGAAAAAGACTCCATTCTTCTCACCTTTCCTGGAGAGAAGTGAAACACACACACACAGAAACACACATCAACCCCCCTCCCATCACGTCTGCAGGGCTGCCTGTCGGAGTGTCTCTCTGAAGGACTCCAGAAGTCAACTGCACTGTAACTGCTGGTGTTTGTTGTGCTGCAGAACTAAATGTTACTTTCATTTGGATTAAACAGCAGCATCAAATTACTAATGTGTTCAGAGTGAAAAACCTTAAGTACAAAGACCAAAACCAGCAATATGTTTGTTGATCTATCAATTACTTTCCAACTTTCCTTCCCTGTCTGAAGCCCAGTGGTTCCTACCTATGTAGTTGGGAATTGTAGTTTTATTGTTATTTATTGTAGCAAACATAACTCAAACAGGAGTAAATTGTGTATTTGTTGGGGACTATTTTTAGCTGCGGATTAACACACATTTGTTGATTTAGCTCGTATTAACAGCAGCAGGACGGTGTGTTATCTTGATTATCAGACATTTTGTTTCACTATTTTGTTTTATTTGCTCCACCAATCAGTAGAAGGAGACATTTTCTAGAGGTGTTCGATTCATATACAAACAAATCTTAAAACTGAGCCGACTGAAGTGAACTGAACCGCTTTGTCTAACACCAAATCTGTAGCTTGGCATATTGCACATCACCAAATGTGTTGTTTTTAAAAAAAACATAAATAATGAAACAATAGTTTGGTGAAGACGTTTATAAAACCGCATCAATCTGACACTTTTTCAGACATAATTCTACTCTTATATCATGTTGTCAGTTGTCAGATAATATCTTAAAATGTGACTTCGTTTAAAATGTTAATTGTTTATTCTCAAGTCTTAAAGGTCCAGGATTTAGTGACATCTAGTGGTGAAGTTTCAGATTGCAACCATTTGAATACAACTCAGCCTTTCCAAGCATGTAGGAGAAACTACGGTGGCCACGAAACTCAAAGGCCCAATCAAGAGTCAATGCTTGTCCGTTCTGAGCTACTGTAGAAACATGGTGGACTCTGTAGAAGGGGCCTTGCTCCCTCTGTAGATAAAAACAGCTTATTCTAACGAAAACACAGAAATTATTATTATTCAATATATTTATGACATATGGTTATACACTTATGAAAACATGCCTATGAATATGTTAACCTTTAAGACTTATTATCCACCAAAATACCAACAACTCGCTTTGTGTAGCTTCATCTGAATGAACCGTGTTGTCTCTCTCCTCCCACCAGTTCACCAAACTCTACCTCATCTGTCCAAAATATATTATACAGGAAAGTAATTTAGCTATAGTTTTTCCAATAAAATGTTATCATATTTAATTTAGGTTTCTTATTACTTGTTGGTTTCTTTTCCAAGACTTTTTGCTTTTATTTATCATTGAACGCATCTCCTGGTGCTTTCATGATGCCTTATTAACCTTATAAACAGAGCTTTTATAGGCCTAGTTTTACTTTTTATTGAACCAGCAAACAGCCGTCAGTTAGCAGAACATCAGCCTGAAAATAGAGAAATATCTTTTAAAGCACAGGATCCTCTGATTGCTGATCATTACATTTATTGACACTAAGAAATCCAGAATATCCGCAGGCTTGTCCTTCAGTTAGAGGATAACGGGTTGTGTTGTGGAGAGCAAGGACACACACACAGAGATGCCTCGATGGCCTGTGTGCGAGCTGTGATAACAAAGTGGTTAGCGCTAACAATGTTTGGGTTCCCATCAGCTCTTATTGGAAGATTGAGATGGTCAGCCCTGTTTCCATTCTCACGTTGTTAATGCTGCTGAGAAATAACAGCATTAGTGACCAGAGCGGTCTTGAATTACAGTTTTTTTTCTCCTTCCCACGTTTGTTTTCATTTCTTCCTACACTCTCCCACTCTTTGCTCACCAGCCCATGGTTACTGCCTCTGTCTTTTACATCATTTGCTCAGTTTTTGGTTGCCTTTTTGTTTCAAAAGAACTAGCATATTTTGCAGGGAAGAACTTCAAAGCCGGCGTAGCTGTAATGAGAAGAGCTGTGTGGTGTATTTTCTGCTCAAAGCCAGGAATACGTTTTCGGAGGTGTGGTAGTGGGAGTCGCATTCAGGAGGTGAGAGCGCTGGCAATGAATCGGGCCTTTTAGCATTTGGATAGGAGTGAGCTTGTGTGATGATGGCGAGCATTAGCACTTTACAATCCTGCTGTGTTTCCGTATAATGAGTGGTCGTCTGCTGCTAGCTGCTCCAATCTGTGAGGCTTTTTCTGTATGTTGGCTGTGGTGCAGATGGAGCGCTTTGCAGTGGCCTGGATCCTGTGTGATTAATGAAACGCAAATCTGTTGTAGAGGCGCTTTCTCCTTGTTACACGCTGAAATGCCTTCTCATTTTGTCGTGATGGACACTGAGAAACAGTGCAATATGAGTCCGGGGATACAGACTCCATTCTTGGCTGTTTAGTAACATTTCAATGCCAGTAATTGATTTTTTTCCTTGATGCTTGATAGCCCACAATGTCCTGCAAAGTGTTCAGCAGCAAGTGGTATCACAGTTTATCTGATTCCAAGGGGCTTAATGAAGGAGTCGAGTTACATCTATCACAAGTTCTGTAATGCACTTGTGAATATTTCGACTTGATTCGGGTTATAATGCCTCGATTTGAAGGAAAAGTCCTGTCTGTATTATTCCACTTGCAGGAGGCTAAGTAGTGCAACACAGAATGTCTTCCAGGCGGTGCTGTAGTCAAGACCACCTTTCTCGAGTCCGAGGCGAGTCCAAGACCAGGACTAGTCGAGACTGAGTCAAGTCCACATAAGAGAGCCAGAGTCAAGACCAAGACAGAAAATAAGAACGCTTTCACCACTGACAATGAGATGAGTTTTTGCTCACAGCACTGCTTCCAGGAGAAACTGTCTTCAAATGTGCACCATTGTCCCATATTTTAACAGTATTGCATCTCCTGCCTCACTTACAGACTATTCTGACTACGGGTTCATGCTAACTTCACACTCGCCACCTCTTATTTAAAGATCTGGGGAACGTGAGCTCCATCTAAACATGTATTTATCTGCAGTAATAACAAACGTCTTACTTATTAATATTACATTATAGTCTAAATCTACACCATGCTAGCTCCTCTGTGAGGCTGTACTTGTTCACCGTGTTAGTGAGTGTGTTAGGATGCTAACACTTGCTAATTGGAAACAGAGAAAGTACAAATTACCAAGTTTTCATGGTAATTCATCTAAATGTTGTTGAGGAATTTCAGCCTGGGCCAAAGTGGATTGACCAACTGACATTGCCAACCTAGGGACGGGCTACTAGCTTCGATAAAAATGTCCTTTGGTTGCTTTGTACAGGTTTGTTAGGGAATCTTGGTGCCGTTTTGACGATAGTGATGTAAACCACAAACCACAGTCTGGCACATGTAAACAAACTGGCACGCAGCTAGCTCAGTTAGCCGAACGGTTGCCCCAGAAGTACACATTTAGCTGTAATAGTTCATCCATTGAAATGATTTATGTGAAATCTATTTGGAAAGGTTTAGGAGGCCCTCTCTTCTTGTTCCAACATTTTTTTGTTGGAGTTGCGATTCTCTGAATCTTTTAATAGTTGTGGTCAGAGTAAAAACAGCAACAATTATGGATGAAAAATGTCATAAATGTTCCTGTAATTTCCAATAATTCTATTTATGAGTCAGTTTAAATTTAGGATTCAACCAACAATCATTTCGCCTATAAAATGTCAGAAGATATTTCTGATAGCCCAGAGGTGACGTGTTCAAATGTCTTTTTTTGTTCTAATCCATTAATCGACTCATACCACTAATCAAAATGTAGTCTTCTGTATATTCTTGACTTTACCTAAGTGGGATAAAGACAGTTGGAATTGAAGGACAGACTGAAAGAAAGAGGAGATCCAATCTTGATCCTCCACTTGTCACACTAAGGAGTTTATTTTTAAAACCCCATCGATCAATGACTGCCATTGTTTGTCTCTTTACGACTCTCAAGTTCACCCCACCACTGGCCGATGGAGGCAATCATCTATTAATTTGATTGTCCTTTAACGTTATTTGTCTGAAATAGAACAGCGGTCGAAATGGAGAGAGTTGCTGCTTTTGAAAAAAACAAAAAAAAACATCTGCCTTCAGGAGTTGCTGACACTGCTGGAAGGTAAAAGCTGGCTCGCTGCTGCTTGGTGCAGTCTGCAGAGATAGGCTTCTGCTGATAGCTGCCTGTCATTTTCACCTGTTTCACCTCATACACACACACGAACACACGGAGAAAGTCAGGTGCGAACTGTTTTTTTAGCGTTTTGTCAAGCCACACTTTGAGGAACAGGCTTTTGAAAGGCGACCTTTGAAAAAAAATCCCCTTGGTCCCCAGAGGTAACGTCAGTGTCCGGAACATCTCCCAAACTCCTCGAGGTATTAATATGAGTAAACATAAGCTGCTTTAGCTGTAGGTTTTGCCTCGACTGTTTTCTGTCTTCTTAGAGGACCTGAGGAGCTGATGTTGTTACCCAGACAGACTCTATCCTGGAGGAAGCTGTATGACGAGGGCCAGAGTTTGCTGACGTTTCAGCGAACTTTTCAAAAAGCTGGTATTTTCCCATGCCAACTTTCTTTTCTCTGATCTGCAATTCCCCCAAGTCGGGCTTTTTTTTATTGTATTTCTCTGTTTGAAATGTCCAATGTCCCAGGGGTGGGGGGGACTGCCCCATAAAGACCCACCAGGGTTTCCCTTTCTCAGGATTTTACAAAAACACGAATAAAAACCTTTTTGCCTTCCAACCAACTATAACTATTTTCTTTCCTTCTCCCTCTTCATCCAAAAATCGTTTAGGGAGATAAGATTAGATAGGATAATAAGATAGATTATAAGATAAGATAGATAGTAGATAAGATAGATAGATAGGATAGATAGATAAGATAGGATAAATTAAGATAAAGATAGATGCGTTAATCCCAATTTTTTACCCCCTTTTGGCCTCTTAACTTTTAGCCTTGGAGCCAGGGCAGCTCAATTATCTAAAATAAAAACCGACGG